GGGATTCCCAATAATAAAACTTTCTTTCTCCACACATGTGGCACATACCACTATCTAAATGAGAGAATCTTTGCCAAATGAACTTATTTTCTACGTAAAACATCCCCATCACATTCTCTACCGTGACAATCTTAACAACTATACTAAAAAATGAAGTTTCCACATATCGCAAAACTGTGTGGGAAAAAATGGAATTTACCTATCAGATTACCTGTGTTAAAATTCTATAGATAATTTTAAAGTCGTTAAGATGCGAACTAGCAATATATACCAGCAATATTTTTATGGTTACCTGTCTAATAAATAATACTTCTCCTGATACCATTTAATATCCGGTTCTGGCACGCCCTCCGTGAAACATCGGACCGTAACATTATCCATACTCGTTGTTCCCACTACCCCTCTAATTTTCAGTGGACAAGGCAACACCTGACTTCGTGGAATGGACGCCAGCCCGCGACCCTTCAACTCATGGGGTGATTCACACACCACGTCGTCCGAAATATCCATCGTCCTCGTCTTGATGAGATGTTCTCTCAAAAAGTGGATATGACAATCACACCTCCAAGGATTATCCCTTAACGACAGGTATATAAGGGAATGCACCCCCTGAAAATGCCTCCAGGACAAACTCGTCAAGTTGTTCGAATCCAGATTTAACTTTTGCAACGCTGTGTCCACAAATGGACCATTAGTTGGAATTGTATCCATCGAACAATTACTCAAGTCTAGCCCTTGTACACACCCAACTTTTTGAAATATTAAATCTTTTATCGGATTCCCTCTCAAATTTAGATCACTCACGCACATTGTAACCATATACATGGAAGACAAGGAATTGTAGCTAAGGTCAAGTTTGACATTCCAGATACGTTTTATACCGAGTAATGCGTACTCGTCGAACTTCTCAATTCCACAGTTGGTCAAATTGATCACTTTCAGGTTAATTAAACCCTCCTTTTCGAAGAAACTTGTGGTTAGGTGGGGAAACTTGTTACCGGAACTAAGGTCAAGTTCGGTGACGGATAACGGGATAGAATAGGTCGGGAGTTCCATACAGTTTGAGCATTTCAGAGATTTGAGTGTCTCGACTCCCCATATGGAGGTCCTGGAGGATAAAATAGTGGGAACACAAGTACAACACGCTGTCGTAAAATTGTGGGGTGTTATGAAAAGGAGAACGAAGAGGGCTAAGGTTGACAATAGTCTATTCTTCATGGCAAAAATTTTGCGATGAGAGGAGAATTGTTGTACGTCTGTCATATCGTATAGACTGGAGGTAACTGAAACAACTGAATGAAAGAATGTGACACTGAAATAAGAAATACATACATATATTTAAATAGTCGCTATGGTACATGTAAAAAAATAGATCTTTTTTAAAACAATCTTGCGTGTTTTTCGACTTTACTTTTTAAGGGATGTGGTCATATTTTTAATACCTGGGAACACGGGATTTAGAAAATTGTCCAAAGTTTCTAAAACAGTTCAAATTTTTGAAATCAGTCAACAATTGAGGACACAGTGAGAATTTTGGCAGACACATTTTATGAAGAAAAAAACTATAATATTTTTACATGGACCATAGCATACTTAAGAAATAGAAGGAGGAAATGTGGAGACCTGAAAGATGGTCAACGAACCATAATGGTGCCTTTTTTTGTGTTTCGTAAAAATAACTTGGAGTTCGAAGACCTTTCATTAATTTTTTAAGGGAAAGGGAAAGGCTGTAAAGGTTTTGATTCAGGTTATGGAAACCTTGAAACTGAAGTTTCTTAAACACGATGTATCAGTAATCTAGATATTAATGAATATCTTTAATATCTTCAGACGAACTTCCTCCCAGATGAATTTCATTGTCTCTCATGGCCCGATTGTCTTCCATCTATTTATAAACATTTCCGTAATTCATTTATATATGATCACGTACTGTTCATACATACATACATACATACATACATATAAAATAATAATTTACATGTGTATCAATATTTCATACGCACACTACGGTGTAGCATCACAAAAAACGTATCTGGAGGACGACTAAAACCAATACGATCAAGAACAATGCTACCAAAATGACCAAAATTATTGCCACCAAGATCCAAATTATTGTCGAGATCTGCTTCATGAACGAGAAAGAGTCGTCACCAGTCCTGGGGGTTATTTCCTGTAAATAATTTAATGTCAACAGATGTCAACGCCGCTTTGTTAAAAGGATAAATTGCCAGGGTCTGGGAAATACATATGTATCGGCACCTTACGAAGATTTACCTGTGGTTCCTGTAACTGCGTAGGTTCAGGTTCAGGCATCCTTACAGTAGTTTGTTGTATTAAACTACCATACTGATTTTCCGCCATACACCAAAATGTCCAAGGACATTCGTAAGCCGAATTGTTTGCAAAGATTTCCAGCTTGCTTTCCCATTCGTTCCGGTAAAGCTGTCCGGTTTCCGAGTTAGGTAAAGGAACATTGGAAATTGATATGCCAGGTTGACTAAAGAAAATAAAATTTAATGTAATTGTAAATACTTAAGGCCTTGGTCTAAAATCCTCCGTGGTTACTTCCGGTCACTTTTATGTGACTTCAACCTAACTTTATGTGGGTTGAGTTTGATGTAAAATTTTGGGATCTTTTGCATTAAATTGCAAAAGTAATCAAGAAATATATAAAATACTTGTCATTATCTTACCCCCAACCTATCTTATACAATTTTTAATTTACCATCGTATGCTCAATTTAACGCAAAACAACGTTCCTGAAAAAACGGGTGGACCAAATCATATTCTGTTTTCACTATAAAATAGATAAACTTGTAAGGTAGTGGGAGAGGTTAGACAGTTAATTTCTGTTTGGCTTGGGGCTTATTTATTGAAGAAAGTGTGACATAAAAACGGTGTCGCTATCAAACAAACGGCTATATAAATACATCCATTTACTTAGATAAAATCTGACAGACCTCCCCCACTCAATTGAGATGTTGGCTACATTTTATAACGAGAAAGTATGATGGGTATGCATTAGTTAAGTCAGGAACGTTGCTTTCCGTTAAAAAATCGGAATTGGTTTGGCGTTGCTATATTGAGGCGTTCCAACAGTCACCACCCAAATATCAAATCCGGGACAAGTGGTCACAACTCATCCAGTGTTGTACCAATCTATCGGTATGGATCACACGATCATTTTGATATATTATAGAATTTTGTGGGATAAGAACTGACTGTGAAATCTCTAAAAAATTGATATTTTGAAGATATTTCGCTAGCATTATATTATTCGAAATAATTTAAAACCCGAAAACTTTTGTTGCCAATGATAAATATATCAACAGTCCTTTTTACCTCAATATTATAGACCAAGGCCTTAAAAATTCAAATTTTGCGAGAAACAAAAGTGGTAAATACAACCCAATAAGGGTATTCATTTTGAGTTTGTACATATTGTTATCAAAAAGATTTTCAAAATTCTATAGCTGAAAGACTTCTTTTTATCGGGCTTGTTGAAATTGGCAAAATAATTTTCAAGAAACTGCAGACACATGTAACATATTTCCATACGTAAAGTGGGCTTCATTTCATACATATAAAATATGAACTCATAATGATATCAATACCAAATATATTTAACTTTACCTCTGTAGTAAATTATCTTTACTGGTTTTCCCCTGGTATCACTCGATAACCGGTTCTGGCACACCCTCCGTTAAACATCGCACCGTAATCTTATCCTCACTCGCAATTCCGATTAATTTCCCATTTTTGAGTGGACAAGGCAACACTTCATTTCTTGGAATCGACCTCAGCCCGCGACCTTTCAACTCTGGCGGAGAGTCACAAATCACCTCGTCTGAAATATCAAATTCTCTCGCCCTGATGAGATAATCTCTCAAAAACTGTATTTGGCAATCACATATCCAGGGATTGTCTGTCAATGAGACATTGGTAAGGGAGTGCGTCGTAAGAAATTCTTTCCAGGACAAACTCGTCAAGTTGTTCGAATTAAGGTTTATCCTTTCCAAATTGGTGTAAACGAATGGTCCATTTAGTGGAATTTTATCCAACGAACAATTACTCAAGTCCAACCCTTGTAAAAACCCAACGCTTTGAAATGCTAATTCTTTTATCGGATTTCCCCGCAAATTTAGCACCTTTACACCATCCGTAGGACTCACCATATTTATGGATGAAGGATGACACAGAATTGTAGCTGAGGTCGAGGTGCACGTCGTTGATTTCGTGCAGACCGTAGAACGCGTCAATGTCGACCCTTTGAATTCCACAGTTGGTCAAGTTTATCTCCTTTAAGTTATAAAAACCTGCATTTACGAAGATGTTTGGGGTCAGGTGGGTCAGCTTATTGTTACCGGAACCAAGGTCAAGTATAGTTATAGATGAAGGATCAGTATAGTTCGGGATTTCCGTACAGTTGTAACACTTCAGAACTTTTAAGGTCCCAGGAGCATCTCCGTATATGGAATACCACGAGGTTGAAATGTCTCGTGGGGGAGAACAAGTGCAGGCTTTGGTAAAATTGTGGGGTGTAATCAAGAAGGCAATAATGATGGATAAAATTAACGCGATTTTGTTTGCCATGGTCGAAATCTCAGAATTAGAATAGAATGAATGTTTGTCTGTGTTGGTCAAGATGCGGATATCGACTGGAGAGAACTGCAATTAATGAAAACAGATTTATGTATGATGTGGGGTATTAAGTATTTTCCATGCAGATCCTAAACTATGTAATAAGTAAATATTTAGCCTTCACCATATACCAGAATGAGAGCGAGACAAAGGTCAAACACCAAAGGTTATCATGAAACATATATTTCCTGACTGTTATAAATCTTGGAATTTATTCAACGTTATGGGAGAAGTTTATTTGGTCAGTCCGTGCAAAGCTGTACTTTGTACTTCAACTAAAATGAAATCTTATCGCTTAAGTGATATAGATTGTACAAATATATTGAAACATTTATTTACACAAATATATAGTTGGTGTATCCGTAACCTTAAAATATATGTGATTAAAAAGTCCAGAAACTAATTAAGTAACGGTAAACAAATCACTTCAATATTTCTTAAAGTATGTCGCAGTGGCGTACGAATTTTCGTACGTACTTTCTCCCATCCGGCTCCGATAAGATGGTGGAGGCATCGGTACCCTTCTAGGCAGGTCAATCGAATCCGGATAATTCCGGCTCGCTCTACTCGTCTGATTATCATCGATCTGTAGAAATTATTCCGTTTTAAAATATGCCATGCCATATTAAAAAATAATAATTATTGATGAAATAAATCCAATGCTTACTAAATGTTGGACCTTCCCCATAAATCGTATCACCAGGAGGATCAGTACCACCAAAAAGAGTAAACATATCACCACTGTGATACAAATTACTAGTGAAACCTGCCTAAAATACGAGTCGTCAAACGGAGTGGTTTTCACTTCTTGTAAAATATTTGAGGTCATGATTGAAGGCGGGGATTGAATTTTCTCTGTAACATGGAAAGATGACACGTTTTTGGAGTTTGGTAAGATTGGTGGGAAAGCTGCCGGTGTTGTTGGTACTTCAGTTTCGGACACGATTTCTATTTGCGCTGGCGTCGTATGAACATAAACCGGTCGAGGTGGTTCAATTACTCGTGCATCAGTAACATCCGGGCGAGGCAATGTGACTTGTTGTGTGACATTACCATACTGATTTTCCGCGGTACACCAGAACGTCCAAGGTCTCTCGTATAGGGACGAGTTGGACAAGATCTCCAGCTTGCTTTCCCATTCGTACCGGTAAAGTTGTCCGGTTTCCGAGTTGGGTAACGGCACCTTATAAATTGAGATTCCAGGCTGACTGAAATAATCAAAATCAAGATGTCTTAGGAAAAATAATTTTTTTCTGGCGAAATTTGGAAAAAATAATATGTCATATTTACTAACAATTAAGTAAATATTCCAATTTTTCTGGGGTTAAATTTCCAATTAATAAATAAATATTTAATAAATACTTCTGAGTTTACCTCTCTAATAAATTATCCTTATCAACTGTCCCTTGATACCATTTAATCACAGGTTCTGGCACACCCTGGGTTAAACATTGAAGCGTAATCTTATCTTCAGTGGCCACTCCTATCAACCCCCCATGTCTCAATGGACAAGGTAATACTTGCCATCTTGAAATTGACCCCAGTCCTCGTCCCTTTAATTCTTGGGGTGAATCACACACCACATCCTTTGAAATATCTATGTCCTTCACATTACGAAGAAATTCTCTCAAAAATTGCATATGACAATCACACCTCCAAGGGTTATCTTTTAACGAGAGTTTTGTCAAGGAACGCGCCACACGAAATTCAGTCCAGGATAGAGTAGTCAAGTTATTAGAATCCAGGTTTATGCTTTTTAGCGATGTGTCTACGAATGGGCCATTTGGTGGAATTTTATCCAACGCACAATTTCTCAAGTTAACCTCATCCATGAAATATATCGGGAATGCCAAGTTTTTAATCGGATTTCCCTCCAAGTTCAATTTATTCGCGGTCTTGGTAACCTCCCACATATCTATGGATGACACATACACTCCACGACAAAAGTTTAAAGGCACCCATAACATGGTCATATCTATTGACCCCCTGAACCGATTTGGATGAAATAAAGTTTATTTAGTACCAGTGGCATTAGTATTACGAAGTAATATAGCATAAACAACATACAACTTAAGACTGGGGCAAAATGTGACAAAAATCCACAGGTGATCATTTTCTCCGCGTCAAAAGTTTAAAGGCACCTGAAGATTTTCAGGTTTCTCGCTATTATTCCCCAAATTTTTAGCAAATTCTAAGTGAACAATTTATTCTGTAATATTATTATTCTGGTGAGGCCATTCGGATATTACAAATATAGTCCAGAAACGAGATTATCGGAGGCTAAACCTTGATATGACTTAAATGGAAAAGTACTTAGATAAAAAGCTGAGGCATAGTGAAACATATTTTTTTATTAAAGAAATGGGTATGGGGTAACTGCTAAAAACAATTACTTCGAGGGAAGATTGAACGTATGTGCAAAATTGGCGTACGTGCCTTATTTTCGTTAGCCATTATCCAAAACAGATGAACTAAAGCTTGTCTCAGAGCATCCAATGCTGTCTGAAAACAAATTTTCGACCATAACTGATATCATTGGATACCTTAGGCTCATTTACCGTGCTTTGGAAGATTGTACAATTTTTTTGGTATAAGAATACTGAGGTAAATTTTGATTCACCGCAAACAACCAAACTAAACATTTGGCATTTTCCTTGAATAACCTGCTATCATTTTTGCATCAGTACAAAATATGTTAATATGATGCAGGGAAGCCATATCCGAATTTCCAGGAAAATTTCACATGCATCCTTAAGCAGGAAGAAATTCTAGAAAGCCTGACATGAATCCTTATCTTTGGTTCTGATGGATCTAAAATGGTTTCCTACGTATGCTTCTTCCAAAGCTTTTTTCGAAACCTCTTAAGCCACCTTATATGAGCCTAAGATACCCACGGATATCAGTTATGGTCGAAAATTTGTTTTCAGACAGCATTGGATGCTGTGAGACAAGCTTTAGTTCATCTGTTTTGGATAATGGATAACGAAAATAAGGCAAGTTTGCCAATTTTACACATACGTTCAATTTTCCCTCGAATTGTTTTTAACAGATACTCCATGCCCATTTCTTTAATAATAAAATATGTCTCAGCTTTTTATCTAAGTACTTTTCCATTTAAGTCATATCAAGGTTTAGCCTCCGATAATCTCGTTTCTGGACTATATTTGTAATATCCGAATGGCCTCACCAGAATAAAAATATTACCGAATAAATTGTTCACTTAGAATTGGCTAAAAAATTGGGGAATAATAGCGAGAAACCTGAAAATCTTCAGGTGCCTTTAAACTTTTGACGCGGAGAAAATGATCACCTGTGGATTTTTGTTACATATTGCCCCAGTCTTAAGTTGTATGTTGCTTATGCTATATTACTTCGTAATATTAATGCAATTGGTACTAAATAAACTTTATTTCATCCACATCGGTTCAAGGTGTCAATAGATATGACCATGTTATGGGTGCCTTTAAACTTTTGTCGTGGAGTGTAATTGTAGCTGAGGTCAAGGTTGACATCTCGGAAGTTTTTTATACCAAGAAATGCGTCCGTGTCGACGTCCTCAATTTCACAGTTGGACAAATTAATCTCCTTTAGATTAAAGAAACCTTTATTTACGAAGATATTAGCGGTCAGGTGGGTCAACTTGGCACCTGAACTAAGGTCGAGTTTAGTGATGGACGAGGGGTCGTGATAAGTCGGAATCTCCGAGCAATTTGAACATTTCAGAACTTTAAGTGTAGGATCTGCCATGAAAGATGTGGAGGTGTTCGGAATGTCTCGAGGGGGAGAACAAGTACAGGCTGTGGCAAAATAGTGGGGACTCGTAAGTAGGAAGACCAAGAGGGGTAACACTAACGAGATTTTATTAGCCATGGTTAGAATGTATGTGTGTCCTTGTTGAAATGTAGCAATGAACTGAAGAAAAATATCTGGACTATAGATGTAATTGGATTGACAGTAACGGCATAAATACATTTGACATTCAGTCCCTTTCAATAGTGATGAGTAGCCTTCGGCATATTCTATGGAAACTGGAAGGTGTACGGACGGTTTCCAGGAGTAGGAAAACATTTTCAGTACAGTCCAGGGTTTTGCGTATACCGAGGATATTGATATGGTTATACCTACATATTGTTCATCTTGGAATTTACGAACCTTTCTTGTATTTCACAATTTTTACCTAAAAAAGGTTGTGAAAAACATGTTGTTGTGAAGAAAAGAAATGTGCAGCATTTGCATGTTTATCGAAAGGAACACATTTTTGTGCCTCATGTACATATACATATTATGTATTTGTATGAAGTTCAGCATACTATAGTAAAAATAAAAAAAGAGTAATCCAAATCTTATGCAAAACTAAATATGTATATATATATACACCTAAATATGTACACCTACATAAATATGTACATATCTATCTATAATGTATGTTGATATAATAAATAAGGATGAATGAATAATACATATGTAGATAGTGCATTTCAATTAAACTCTAGGTGTAAGCCAATATATCTTTCATATTTTTTAATCACTACTTAATTCCCAGAGACGAATGGACATAAATGTTATCATGGGAATAAAGATTTTTAATGTATGTCATATATTTATATCCCACCGATGCCATGTATGTGTCAACATTCTTCCTTTGAAACAGTGCTATCGGGACTTCAATGGATATAACCTTTTAAAATATCCAGGAAAACCAAATTTTACCAAGTTCTCAGGAAATATAACGAATTAATGTACCTATACAATTGTTTTACCTTTATGAGCACTCTGTCCCACGGAATGGTTTTCAACACTGGTAACTCAGCCCCTTCAATATCCAGACTAAAATAATCTATCGTATCGACATTTATTGCTTTCAATAAAGTAAATAATGGATAACAATCTGCCGTAAAGGATGTCAGTTTTCCTAATGCGACGTGGGTCATGAGGTCATCTTCTTTTGGCCGGGTCATGCCGACCTGTTGGAAGAATATTAATTATTTAATTACTAATTACTACGGTTTAAAAATTTGAGATGTGTTTCCAATACTTTTGTCGGCCACGGCTGTCCCGACAGACAAACCGGAGCTATCCAAACGTTTCGATTTCGAACCAAAAGTTTACTTAAGGGGACAGGATCCGGCTCAACGAGCAGACCTGTCCAACCATGCCGTAATTCTAAAGGCAACGTGTTGGAATACATTTCTCCATCGTTGGCTCCACATTCGATGAAGAATCCGTTCTTCTAGAAAAATAAGAAAAACCAAGCACCGGTAAATTATGTATCTATTGAAAACACTAAGATAAAGAACCCTATTCATTTAAGGAAGAATGTATTTATATAAACAAATATGCACAAATTTCTTAATAAAAACGAGATATGTAATTTCTGCATGTTTTTTTAGTTTTAGAAATTGTGTATTCCATATACAAATTTTTCTATGACTCTGGAATTTAGTTTAGTGAAATCTTATCATTTTAGTCCCTTATATAAGTACCTTTTCTCCAAGAAGGTTGAAAACATATCTGTAAATTTCTTCTTGTTGTTCTGGTTCTTTGTGAGGATTTGTAGCACTCACGACAACATCATTTCCATGGGATGGTGTGACCAAAACTTTGTGTCTTACGAAATTAAGCAGATCAGTATCGTCTTATTCTAATGTCGCATTTCCAATAAAATCCTCACTTTTTTTCCCACTAAGATATATAATGTGACAAAATTATTTCGAGGTAATAACACAATTTAAGAATGCTTTTCTTTCTTAATGGGTCCCTTCTTACTCAAGATAAAGTTCCGACAGCTCGTCTTGGATATTAACATGCTGATTTGACGAACTGGAGTAATTGACCAAAACTCCGACAAACCCAAAGGTAATTAAAATTCCGAGCAGAATGTTTTTAAAATGTAGTCGATACTTCATGTTAACAATTATTTAATAATAGAAATAAATGAATAAATAAATGTAATCTAATTAGATATTTATATATAGGAAACGCTACAAATTATTATGTTGTTGTCGTTATGTAGTTCTGGTTGTACTTATACAGTCAATTACCAAATTACAAAATAGTGCTACTTGATATGACAAACATTTGCAACCGTATACATAGAAATTTTTTTCTATGTAATCCCCAGCACCTACCAAGCTCCACTCATGCGTCATAAATTTTACCCCAGATGCCTAGTATTCTTATCATCACACCTAAATACCAATGTGGACCAATTTAGATAAAGAATTATGTAACTCGAACTAATCTATATTTCCATGTCGGCTATCTTGATCTTTTCAGTGAATCGTAAATTCATACCCAAGCGAGGATTTTTATTGCGTACGTGGTTTGTTCATGGCCCATGTTTGATTATCGTCATAAATTCTTGCCTCAGGTTAGGTTGATTTTTAGCGTGGTTCAATCCTTACGTTTAATAAGCACAATAAATTTTTTTACAACATACTCCCAACGATTTGATAAAACATTGTACAGAAATCACGAAGTGATATTGGATTTACAAATCGCATACCTTTGATATTGCAAAATCAAAAGTTTTTTGTGCAACAATTAGAATTTGAATCTGAGCTTAAGTTATGTTTGGCAATAAGCTCTCTCATTTTTTATACACTAAAACTTTATCTCTGGAACATTCTAGGGAAGCATTTATTAGAATTAACTTGGGGAAGGTAGGATAAAAAAATGTTATGCAAATTTTGTTTGAGGATGAAGTTATAATTAAGGATAGATTAAAATTATGGGTGAATTTAATCATCAAGGACAAGTACTATGATTGGGCCCCCTGAAATCTAATGCAGACGTGCCACGACACAAAAATTTGTTTATATATAAATAATTTGTAAATATCATTATTATTTCTGTCGAAGTAAATCATCACAATTAATTCTATAAGTTAACACTCTCATGTGCATAGACGTGATCATGTGAGAAACGGTTTTTAATGTGGGTCACGTATCGGTACCCAACCGAACTCATGTATTCCTGAAGTCATTTACGGTCTCGTTATGAGCTTCTATTGAGAAAGTCTAGTAAAAAGAATGTTAAAATTTACCATTTTAATTAAGACGTAATACAATGGAATTTTTTAAATAAAACGAGTGTTAGAATATCAATAGAAGTTTACCTTGATTACTATATCATTCCATGGAATTGTTTTCAATATTGACAACTCAGCCCCTTCGATATCCAGGCTGAAATAATCCACGGTTTTGACGTTAATTGCACTGAGGATGGAATAAAGTGGAAAACATTGTGCTTCAAATGCCCGATAATCCTTTTCCTTTCCTAAATGCGAACCCGAATCACTTAAATGCGTCCATCCCGTCATAGTCTTGTGTTGCATGGTCACCTAAGTAAATTGGAAGACCTAATATTTACGAATATTTAATAAATAAGCAACATTCTATCAAATTTTAAAACAAATCTGGTTGGGGCCACTTAAGACGTAAGTAATGATTTTAAAATCTAGAAATTGAATTGAAGTCTAATATTTTACAAAATTAATTTGAAATGGAGACCTTGACTGGATAAGTGAAAGGTGACAAACACGCTCCAGATATCCAAGAACGTCTATTTCTTTTTCTAAGTCCCTCCAAAGGGTTTGGGTCCGACTCCACGAGTAATCCAGTCCATCCGTGTTGCATTTCGAGAGATAAAGTGTTGGAATAAAATTCACCATCGTGCGCCCCACATTCCACGAAGAAGCCGTTTGTCTTTAAATTTATGACAAAAATATTTTTCTTTAAATAAATCCTGTTTCACAAAATTGGCACAAAATCTAAGGTGACCTAACTCTATATTTTAAAAATATCTACATGCCCGCATAATAAATTATAGATGCCTCCATAAATATTTTAGAATTACCTTATTTCCCAAAAGTCGAAAGATAAACCTATACATTTCCTGTTGTTCGAATGATTTCCCAAAATGGACATCTTTTTTACTCACAACTACATCCCCTGTTGTGGCTGGGGGTTGGAGGTATTTACGACGAATATAGTCCAGTAAAATAATATCATCTTGAGCAACTCTGAGGTCTCCACTGGCTACAATAGAATCGTCCAAGAGTGGGGCAGAATTTTCAACAAGTATGTCATTCTCTCTAATTAAAAAAATATTTCATCACTTTTTCTAATTACATATATTGATAACCTTACTCAAGATTGGACAGTAATAGCACGTTCTCCTTTCCATTAACATGCTGATTCGTTGAATTGGAATAATTTACCATAAGGTTCACAAAGCCAAAAATAATTACAATTGCTACAAGTAAGCTTTTGCAATCTAATCTGGACATGATTTTAAGAATTCTTGGCAAATTTAATTTTTTGCAAGGTGTGGAGAAAGTTGAAAATTTTACAGTGTGGATGTACCATGAAAGTTATGCATATGAGATCTAATTTAGTTAATTGATACGATACTTGCAATAATGTAACTACAAAGCCGTAACTAAATGGATGCAGAAACTTAAACAATTTCCTACAACTACTAAATTACGACTCTGGCATTAGTCACTAAATTTAGTCCAATTGCATAGTATTCTTATCTTTACTGTATACCCAAATACCGAGGTTGCCGAATTCAGATAAGGAATGGTATAACTGTAATTAATCTATATTTTGGTGACGGCCGTCTGTTTGGGTTTTTTATATGCGTGGCTTACTCATGGATCATATTTATGGATTGATTGTCTAATATTTGCGTCAGGTCAGGCTGATTATCAGACACGATAGCGTCGGCTAGTCTTATACAATTGTGTCATATATACATACGTACGTGTAATTATCACATGCAATGATTACCTGCAATATTTCTTGGTATTTATTTATCAAATTTTATTAGACATAGATGGAAAATAATATTGTTAATCCTTATTTAAGTATTTCCTAATCCCATGTTTGGTGGTAGATATCCTACCAAGCAATAAGGTTTATTATAAGCAAGAATGCATATTAAATAAATATTAATTGACGAAGGTTTAACGTGATACACGTATTCATGGCTTAATAAAAATGTGATATGATATATATATGTACAACACGTTCACATATGTATGCAAAATTGCAGTGGGTTTAATGTTAGTTGACATCACGACAAACAAGCAAACCAATTAGCCCAAACTGCATTACAATAGTAGATAATTGTGAGTTCGGAGAAACTTTATTATCAGATACCAAAAAGATGTGTTTACTGAAAGCATATCCAAATCATATTTGATTGCAACAAAATTATAATTGTGAACTTCTCATCATAAAATTAAATTAATTAAAATTACTCTTAACGAGGCTAGTTAATTTCTCGAAAAAAATAATCCATGTAAAAATTAATAATTAATTTAGGAGATTTTTTAAGAGAAAGATAAGACTGAAGATTGGAGGGTATACAATTATTGATGTATACTTAATTATTTAGAATAATTATACATTATAACAAGACTACACAAGCAAATATGGTGTTAGATGCATACATACATGCTTGCTTTCATTCAGACATTAACAACAAGCCTACCGTTCGATTTACACAGAAATCCAAAACATTTAAACATGTCGCCATTTCCAAGAAGTTTTGACCAAACCGAACCTTTAATTGTGGCATGGATCTTTGCACCCTCATCCACAGGCATTTTCTACCTTTGTCATATATTCCATTAATCTGCTTCCTCTTCAAATTTGTCAATACCAATCCGGACGTTGTGTAGATCGTGCCACCAATTTCTGCAAATATTGCTGTTAGAATGACCAGCTCTACGACAATGACTGGAAAAACGACGAGTCCAACATGCCCATCTTGAAACCCTGAAGTCGATACCTGAGTACAAAGTAAATTGACAGAATTACCAGTTCGGCTTTTTAAACGAGACCATGTTGCACCTCAAGTTTTCTGAGAGGCAAAAGCTGTCCACAAAGAAAGAATGAAATATACATACGGAACCAAAACCAAATTTGATGATACTCGCATCTCATGAATTTAAAATGGTACGCACAAAATATTGGAACAGTGAATACAAAGTGCTAACACACTTACACGAATTGTGATAAAGAACGCTAGAATGATGCACGCCACAAGGCTAGCCATCAAAAAACCGATTCATCCATCTTGGTAGGCATGGTTCCAGCATTTCTCTAAAACATAGAGACCCCTGTATCGATCCATTATGCAAATTTTGGTCCCATTTTCCGGAATATCTTCCAAAGGTTGTTTTAATATTCGGGCCACAGAAATAATCAGAACTAAGAGAAAATGACAGCTCGAAAGTACACAAGCACACATTATATAAACTGCAAAATATGACTGTAATATCCACAAAATGAGTTGGATGGCATCCCAGCAAACAGAATTTTTTGGCCAGTTGCAGGTATTCGTGATAATTTTGTTGTTTTCGTCAGGTTCAAAATCCAGCCAGAGAGATCCCAACCAAGGCGCTGCGCATGGATTAAATGCGACCGGCAGCACTGTTGCCAATGAATAGATGGGACTCGATATTTGGCACATGTACATGATCCCAGGTAACACCAAATTACCCCATCTGTGGGATGATGGATTATGTTCCTTTACCAAACTGTGGATCATGTTGACGAAATCTATTACTTCCTGTTCTGTGAATCATAATTAAGTTGTATTTATGTAACTGGAATGTAAGTTTTGGTATTCATCACTACGAATTTTAATGGATAAAAGACTGTCATACTTTTGCGTAAGGTGAACAGATATATCATTACATCGGCAAACATAGCTATCGATGTCATCGAAATTATTATAAGTGGAGCAAATCCAAACTTATTTATCTTCCCTTGTGCACCAGATACTCGGTAAATTACATATAATCCGTTGAACGTGACAAAGACGCCGAATAATGTTACAACAGCAAGTAGAAACGTTGCCCATGGATTTCGTCTAAGGGGTATCAACTCAACTAAAGTTTCAGAATTTCTGAAAAACCTGTAATTCTTGAACCCAAGTGAGTTGCAGATTCGTATTTGCTGTTTGAAACACGTTATAAAGGATTGCGGCAACATTTTCTTTGCACGGGTAATTGAAAGCTTTCGAATAATAATCAATATCTGTGTCAAATGCCGACAGACAACTGCCGGAAGTTTGAAAATTACACACTTTTTACGAACCATCAGATTTTGTTAGTAATTTTTTTTTATTATTAACTTCGCAATTCTTTTCTTCTAACATTCTAACAAGTATGTTGACAAAATATCTGCATTGGAGTAGATTTTAGTCTTATCCAAGTACTTGGCAAGTTGTTACTCTATGTACGTAAGACATAGGCGATGGACGGTGTTATGAATATGTATCTCACTAGGAGGTTATCAAAGTGAGTTCACAAAAAATGACACTAAATGGCTAACCCTATACTACGATAGCTGAATGACACTGCAGTATTATTAGTTAACCCTTAAGGTATTACTCTGCTGCTATCAAGGTAGAGACGAATTATTAGGAAATTCACCAAAAGTATTTAACTGAAGTTCAAAGTTAAGGCCTCTGAAACCTATTGTACTCAAATATTATTATGCTTACATGTTGATATTTTGAAATTAAAAGTTAATAAAACATCCACCATCTCAATTTAGATACACAATTTCATGTTCAACATTTTATGGGGGTTTATGTCTGTCAGTTTCATGAATTATTTATCTAACTAAATAAACAAAATTAAGGTACACAAAATCAGATGTATGTAGTCTTTGGCCGTGTTCGATACAAAGTTATTAAAACTAGTAATGTATAAGTTAACCTAGCCATGCCTGCATTGAGGAGTTAAATGTAAATGCTATTTGTAGGAATCATGTGAATATGTAGAATGGAATAATATATCGGGATTGTATGTATTACTACACATAAATGTACCTCAATCTTATAAGATATTTATGTACACAGGAAACTTAATCCGTCCGAGTTATGTTAGCATAGATACGTTAAATCTGTTGATGAACCAGTTTACACCTTAAACCTGACTATTGAAATTGACCATCCATTTGGTATGACTGTCATTTACCTCAATGAGTAATAATTTCATGGTTTCACTTTGGTTTTAGCACTATCTGTATTCATATGTCTGTCCAAAAAGGTTACTTTTCACTTTTGGACACTTTAGTTTTGGCGGGTAAGGCAAGGCATGATTTCATAGGGCACAGGGTGGGCAGGGCTAAATTTCGTAGGGCGTGGAGCGGGCAGCCTTTTAAAAATCGCTTACTGCATAACTCTAATTGTAGTATACACACTAAATTTCATGAAAATATATTTGCGTATACATTTTCCAACAAATGGTTAACAGAAACAGCCCAGAAAATGCCCGAGATTCCATTATGAAATAATTTTGAAGATTTTTTACACTTTTTGAGGCTATTACCGTTATTGGACGGTGTCCAGTCCAAAACAAAACCCTGATTCGCAGGACTCGAACGTTCGACGACAGGAGTTCACATGGATTTGCGTTTATAAATTAATTTCTTATAATTTCTTTCGTTTTAAGGCCGTACGACCTACATTATATGCACAGATATGACTCATAGGTCTTCTATGGATCAGGTGGAGAGAGCGTACACTGATCGCTATTCTATGGAATATGCAGAGATAAAATTTCAGATAAAATTTCGATAAAATTTTATCTGTTTAGGCTTGGAAATACAAATATTACTGTTTATTGTTTTTTCTCAGTATATTCTTGTATGTTCCTGAATTATTAAGATATTTAGGTAACCTGTTTCAAGGCCAAATGTTCCATTATAATCCAGACCGTTTTGTACGAGGACGTGGTGGGGTAATAACTTGCCAAGGGCACTAATTTATGAAATATGTTTTGGCCAACTTCTGTATTTCCACATCGCCCTAAACCATTGTCTAGCTACATGTAGACAACGCCTGAGATTCACACATATACTGATTTCCCCTGTAAGCATTTCTACACATGAAATCAATATGGATACCAAGTAGATATAAAATATTGCCTGAATATTTCCAGTCAGCGAAATTTTTGTTACAGATTCTCTTTGTCTTTTCTCTACAAGGGTGTGTACTTTTCTCGTAATGTTTTGCCTTCGCGGAGTCACCATGTGTGGCCAGTCCTCAAAAAGTTGAACAATCCCAGCTTCATGCAATTTCCCGAATATTTTCGGTGTAACGGAAATCCCTTCACTGGTTAGCATCGGCCCTGATTCTGACGCCAGGACTGATGACTCCGATTTGAAGAACTTAAGCCATGGGTAGTGCTTCTCAAAGTAACGAAGATTTCGATTTCTCTGTTGTCCAAGACTAAAGCCGTTCTTCCACACTGAACAAGTGCTAGCTCAAGATCCCACTCATTTTCAATATATCTAGTCTCTGTCAAGTTACCCAAAAACGGGTGTGGTACACGCCAAGGATCAATCAAATCTAATAATCTTAGAATATCCATTGATTCTGATGAAATCTGATGTCCCAATTTTAATTTTGGTAAACTTGTGTCCATTATTGTTTTTACTTTCGATTGTACACGCGTG